ACTCCAGAAAATGGTGGTGTAAGAACATAAACATTTTTAGGGCATGGTCCCCGTTTTTCAATAACTTACCTATTGTGCAATTATTTTAATGCTGTACTCCTTTAAATTGAATATATATAACATTTTAGTGCACAAGTGCTTTGCCCTCTTTCGCCACTGATAAAAAAATATTTGCAGCTATGATAAATACCTTGCTTGAGCAGCTTGCATATGTCACATTGTTCGTGGATTTGAAACTTTCCTCAACTGTACATATATCTGTACATGTGGCCACATTTCCAAAGCTCTTTCAACTACTTATATATTTTACAACTACCTGTGCTTAAAAAAATTTTTTGGAAAAGTGCTGACTTAGTAACTTTAACATAGCCTTCTCATTTGATTGGTGTATTCTTGAACAACAATAACAAAGAGCTCAGAGTCTGCTCAATGCCCCACCTTATTTTGCCTACTGCCTGCTTGAAAAGCACTGTGTATCTGATGTAGGCCATATGACCTAATAATGAGTACAGTACAACTGTCCTCTTCCTCAGTAAATTTAAAATTTTCCAATTGATGTCAAGGCCATCCACTGAAATCTGCAATATGCCATGAAGGCCTGTGCTTTTTATGAAATTCTTCATAGTAGAATTAACCAGATACCTGAACTGCAGTTCAAAACCTGATGTACACATCCAAATGCTTTGTCTGTAAATAAGAATCCAGAATTTGATCACAGAGTATAAAATAATCACTTTCAGATTTCACTTTTGACAGTAGAAATGACTTGAAATAAAGTGCAATGACAAATGCAGTTAGATATGAACAGTCTCACTCGCAATATGCAAACACGGATGATACTCACTGATAAAAACAACAATACATCTTATGATTCTTGCACTGTTAGGTTTCATGAAGGTTTCTGCGTCAACAGAACTAGGTGAACTCTTACTTTCCTTACATTGACTTGTTGCAAACCTTACACCAAGTTTGTTTTGTTTGGTTAGTTATTTCTTAGAGAAAAGCTACACAACTGACTGTCCCTGGTGGTGGCTGAATTATAAGATCGTTTTATCAATTTTGTAGTTCTCCTTCCAGAAAGGCAGTAAAAAATATTAAAATGCAGATATTAATATGAATCTCTGTAAATACATAGGTGAATTACATAAAATTTATAAATTGTGTTTATTTGTGGTTTTACTGTGCAAAACTAATGAAGCAATGTATAGTACATGGAAACAGAAATACCCCTACGAACACACTGGATGTGCACCAAAATATTTACACTAGGCTAAAGAAGGACTGATAATGGGACCTCATTGATAGAGCTGGGTAATTAATTTGATTAATAGACATAATAAATTACCCATAAACACTGATTACAGTATGTAATGTAATTGATTAACCCTTCACTGCGGCTGGGACGTATATATCCCATTGTCATTCAAAATTGGCGCATGTGACGTATGGGAGTAAAATGAGTTGGAAAGTATGTATTGGCATCCCACCTACTGTTGATAAATGGTTTCCCTCAATGTTTTCCACTCAGTCCTTGAGTAACCAACAAGATGCCTAAGTGTAATGTATGACAATTGTTCGCTGACTGTGCCCACATCCCTAGAAGAGTGAGTAGTAACCCAAATTACTATGTAAGTATGCTTGAAGTTCTTGAATCAGAAAGCTTAGAAGACTAAACCTAAATTACCTTTTTTAACTTTCTAGAGTGGCTGCAGATTGTAATAGGAAACTTCAGTTGTTTATCCTGAATAGCCTAAATCTTGCAACAGCATACATTTTCTTCTACTTAAAGTTTATTGCTTTTTTGATCCATATCTAACTACTAATCCAGCCACAGAAGTTGGAGAATGCATAGCTCAATTTAGCATACTGAATGAAATAATGCATGAGCTGCTCGTAAGCATATCTCATGAAGAATTTATATATATAAATTTTTTTTTTTCATTATCTTACCTAATGAAATCAAACAAGTTTCTAATTTTTACATCTTAGTTACTTATATAACAATAAACAAAGAATATGCATCAAAAACAAGAAATATAATGCTTACTTTTGATCACTTGCTTTTCGGTTTACGATGAAATTGAAGCCTACTTTTCTTATAATGATGATACTAGTACACTAAATTTTTATCTACTTAAATATTGCACCTAAGAATACAAAATAATAACACACAAAAAGCAAATAATTTCCTATAACAATTATAATCTAACTGGCTTTATAACTACGACAAGAAGGGCTTAAATTAATTCCCTTTGCTGCTCGATCTGATGAACTTTAAAACTGAAGATGAAACTGACAATACTCTGTATTTAAAACAAAATGGCATTATACATTATTTGATAGATTAAAACTTGCCCTTTCTATTGGTTATAAATGATATAGTATAAAATGTAGAGAAAATTATTGGCAATTTGTAAAAGAGAGGATGTGACAGGGGAGAGTGGCAAGTGGGTCTGATTTTCTAGTTTACGACTCTGTAAACAAATAAGATTGAAGCATATAAAAATTTGATTTTGCCTTAGTAATATCTGTATTATAATGAGTAAGTTAAATCAAATTCCATACTTCAGAGAGAGGGGGTAAAAAAATCAAAGAAGGGGAAAGACCTAGAGAACAAATGTCAGAATTCTCATAATAAGGGAAAACTTAGGATTTATTTAAATATTTCCTTAGAAAATTAAGAACTTAAAACTTATATAATATTAAAACTTGATTTATTAACTACATTTGGGTTCATATACCTTGATGATAAAGTAGTGTAATTAAGTTTTGAATGTAAATCTGTAATCAGATCATGACATACAAACTTTGACCAACCAATAGCAAGAGCATTAACCATTTCGAGATGTGTCACAGGTGAAAGGCC